GAGTAGGTGATGCAGATTTTTCAATAAGAAAGAGAGAGAGAGAGAGAGAGAGAGAGAGAGAGAGAGAGAGAGAGAGAGAGAGAGAGAGAGAGATAATGCAAGATCTTACCGTGTTATCATAACGACTACAACAGACTTTTGCTCCCATACCATACGCCAGAAATCCCCTGTGGTATTTGGCAATGGACCTGAAATGAAGATTTGTAATGGCTATCACATACGTGGTGTGTACCGTAGGGATGGAGGGCTGCACTCTGGTTACTAACTGTCTGAAGTGATGGAGGAATAAAGGAGGAGGAGGAAAAGGGATGGAGAAAGGAAGAAAGGGGATGTGGGAAAAGGGGTAAAGTAGATACATAGGAAGTAGAAGGAAGTGAAATATTTCATTTTTTATTAATTTAATTTTTGCCTGAAAAATTTCAACGAACTTAAATGAACTCCCTACTAAAGACAAACGAAGTGTCAGTCAAGGTGATCTTCTATTCTCTAACCTTGTGTAGCGATGAAGGCTTTTGGTTGCTTGTAACCATCCACATAATTAGCATGTATATAATCAGAAAACTGAAAAAATATGTATATAAAAAATTCTATAATAAAGTGTATTAATAAATGGGTACAAAAAGATTGGAGTTTCAAGCTTTTCCAAGTGCAAGAAATAATGTGGAAAAAAGCATGGCCACCATGTTGGATGATCTTTTGATGTCACATTTACTCCAATCAGCTTTTAATTTGACCCATGGTAAAAGCAAGATTTCCAGTATGAAAAACAACCAACAAACGAGCAGGAAAGGAGTACTTATATTGGAAGTCTGGTTTCGTTAATAACGTATAAGAAAGACAAAAATAGTAATCAAGAAAGAAGACTTCACTTACATCATCCTCATCTATAGGAGTGAGAGGAACTCGTGTTCCTTCTAAGCACAACACATCAGTGTACCGATTTTTCCTGACATTGACTCGCAACCTTTAATGAAAACAAATATAAATGGATTAAAAAGCTTAATGTGATTAAATGTGAACTACTGGTTTGTTTTCATGCATTTCCAAAAGAATGAAAAAATGCCTGCCATTTTGGTTCACTTGATTACAGCAAAAGAATGGCAAAAAATTGCTCAGTAAAGTGAAACAACATGTTGGCCATAACGTCACCTAAAAGACGGAAATTCTTTTTCGAATTCAAATAAATTTAGAGAGTTGATCATAAAAAATAGAATACCAGGTGATTCACAGTCTTTCTCACCTTGTTTTATCAAAAACTCCTTCCAATGGCAAGCTCTTCAGTTCCATATACTGTGCTTTAATGCCTCGCTTTCCTAGCTCTCTCACGTGCTGCATAAACTCTGAGACACTCATAACAGGCTCTCCAAAGTCTGCTACTTCATTCATAGTTTCCTCAACTCCTGGTTCACATTGTGGCTGTCTGCTATCCCATCCCCTGCCTTCTGTAGTAGACTCCCATCCATTTTCTGTGGTTTTAGGTGAGTCAGGAATATCATTGACACCGAGTGTCTCTGCATAAGAAGCAAGACACTTATTCAACCAAGAGAAGTGATCAACAGGCAATGTTCCTCCAAGTGTTTTGGGAATATTTTCCAGTGGTAGTTTCTCTTGGAGCTGCTCAGATGAAACAATTTCTATTCTTTCACGTATCTTTTCTCGTAAAAGACTTGAGAGAATAAGGAGGATAGCTTTGAACCATAAAGGAGGAGAGATAATAAATACTCGCTTCAACCTGGCTGGATAACAACCCTGGAAAACAATGCAGAATTGTTGGTGATGGATCTTGAACGGTAGTAGATTGTTTCAGGTGAAGTGTCAGCTCATAAATAATGTAGCATATAGGATAAATGGCATTCAAATAAATATTGAATATCTTATAAGGATGACAAGAATTTGCTGTACAGCACATTTTTCTATACAAATGCTTATAAAGTTTTCAATTTTATTTTTGATGTCATTTCTCATAGTTGAGGTATGAGATGAAATCATAAAATCTTGCAAAAAAATTATAAGCTGAAGGTGCTGATTTCATTTCTTGTGTTCATTTGGCACAAGTGGTCGTTCTAAGGGGTAGAAGGATTAAATGACCTGTTAGTCCATATTATTTCTATACCTATTTCAAAAACGTAGCTGGTCCTAGATCTGAAATGGGCGATCTGAGAATAAACTAAATTTTGGTGCTTACATAATTTATTTCACATTTCTGACTTGTGGGTCATGCTTCATATTCAGATTTTAAAGGAAACTACGTTGTTCGGCTGTGAATATAATACAATTTGCAGCGTACTATTCAGTCTCAGATTTCAGATCTCTGACTGACAACATTAAAAAAATAGGTGTATAGTATGGCCTACATTCTTGGTATAGGAGCTGTTAATCAAGTAGCCTAAGTATAAATAGGGACTTTAAAGGGCCTGGGAAAAATATGAGGAAGTCCTTTGAAAAGAACTAATAGGACAACTCTATTACTTACTTTTAATAAGTCCAGTACTTTATGACTAAGTTCATAATCAAAGTTCTTGTACGATGAGTTGGACATGTCATATAATAGAATAAGGCCATTACGTTGAGTTACGACACTACAAGGAACAAACAACAAAAAATTATGATTATGATTGAGTGGGAGTGACAGTTGAAAAACATGTTTGCTTACTACTGCTTCTGCAAGGTCAAGGATTAATTGTGTTAGGATTTTTCCAATGCATAAAGATATCTCAACTGAGTCTTAAGGAAATAAGGTAAAGTTAACAGTCTACAGAGCTTTTAAATGTAATGTCAATCATATGGAAAATCAACTTCTGGTTCCAAAAGGAAAAGCAGTTCTATAAAGATTTTTCTTTCTTTTTTTCTTTATGAAATGATTTGTCGTCCAAAAATCTAAACTGTTTCAGGTGGAGGTTAAATTATTCAAAACATTTTTTTGCTTTATTATAGTGGGCTTTGTGAGTGGATAGATCCAGAAATACGTCACAACCTAACATATTTTACAATCATCACTCCCCAAAGGGGGCTCTTCCATGAGGTTCCCTCCACTCGCACTACCAATGCATTCTATATAACAGTTCTATATCCATGCATCAGGGAAGGACTGACTCACTCTTTGGTTGCCTCATCAAGTTGAAAAACCATTCCTTTGATGACAGTATCATGAGTGGTTAATTCTGGAAAATGTAGGCTTGCATTAATCATTGCTATTGCTGCTCCTTCAGGGTCAGGTTTCTCCTAAAAATATTCAAATTTTATTGGAGTTCATTTGCTGGCCAGGAGGTCTTTAGGCAAGGGAAGGTTCGTTTTTTGGGGGGGAGGGGGGAGAGATGGAGGATTTACGGTAATCTAGAGGACTAGCGTCCGACGAAGGACTAGTGTCCGAAACGTCAGTTTTTTCATCTTTTCACGGTGTATAATTTACCTTTTTATCATTACTGTTTCATTAGAAACACCGACGCAGCTCACACTAGTTTTTAGCTAGTTATCTCTTTTTAAAAATATAGTTGTAGCCCTCCTCCTTGTGCTCAGAAAGAAATTCATGGCCCTCCTATTAAGGCAACAAGGCAGGGCCATAGCAAGACTGAATATTTGTTTGCAGAAGTAAATGAGCGGCAAAGGGGGAGCAACTATTGGGGTTCAAATTTTGAAATTGAGATCCTCAGAAATGCAATTGTGCACCTCATTGAAAAGCTTGAGGTCTTATACTTTTTTGCACTACTCACAGGTCAAACAGTAATGAAAATGTCAAACAGGCTTGTTGATTTTCTGTTCTTACCAAAACTGTAAACTTCCCAGACAGTAACTCTTGTCTCATGGGATCATCGTAGGGAGACATTTCATTCAGGCCATACATAACACATTTGTCCTGAAAAAATAAATCTATAAGTACCCCCTCAGGCTCCAGTGACTATGGTGAATACTTACCTTTTCACTCAAAGACTCATGGCTCAGTAAATATTTACTGATAATCACTTCCCCTTCGGCAAATAATTGTTAAATATTATCATCAGGGCTCAACGTAATGGCTGGTCAACAGACAATGTTGGGCCAAAAATTGGCAATCCACTGATCAAACACCACTTGTGGGCAGTCTTCTTGGCCAGTGGCATTGACTGGTCTCTTGTTAATAAGTGTACATGTGGCTAGTGCACCATCATGTTTGAATAACTGAGCAAGGGTTACTTTTAGCCTTGAATCGCATATGCTTATTATGAGCTGAGGGAGTTAGGTAGGTGAGAGAGGCTTGAAAGGATCTAGCAGAGTGCCATCAAGTTTTGAACAACAAGAAATGGAGGTTAATTATATTATTTTCATTCAATCCAGCCTCTATTGTAAATCAGACTGAAAAAACATTGCGTAGAGTAATGATATTTATTACTCAAAAGAGAGGAAGGGTTGATGGTCTTTGTACTGCTACTTCGTCTAGGCTCCTTTGGTCCTCCCCCTTCTAAAGAAATGAAAAAACTATTGAATATAAGGCTAGTTTTGAAGATAATGAAATTTATAAAATGATCCTATTCCTTCTAAGAAATAAGTTATTTTGAAATCTAATGACAGAAGTATTCTCAAAAAAAGGGTGTCAATACACAAGGAACATTTGCATGTCCAGTAGAAGGTTGAGCAACAAAACCTTAGCTTATGTAATTAACAGAGTAATGACAGCCAGCTGGTGTGAATATTTTTGAATACTTGAACAAAATTCTTGACAAATAATGTACATATTTCTTTTCGTTTTCCAATCTCAACTACATTTACAGTATACTTTAGATATGAATTTTCTTCCCCAAAATAGCAGCAAGATTCACTTTTGTATGTCACTTAATCTTTTTTGCTTGTGCTTTTTAAAGTTAAAGATTTTTTTTGCGTGGATATTACATGTTCCTTCTCGATACAAGATCCAATATACACATGGAATGCAGTACACACAAAGAGAAAGAAATTTTCCGTTTGTGCATACGAACAAGATGTGCTGAAGAGAGATTCAGCACTACACAATAGGATCTTACAAGACGCTTTAAGAATGCACTGAATACTGAATAAAACGTCAGGCAAAAGGGAAAGTAGAATGTTGCATATTTGTAGCTAGATAATTGCGGCGCCATCAATGATAAAATACTGCATGTCAGTGTAAGATTTAGCTGATTAAGAGTGATTAAGGGTCGTAAAAATCAAGGGGAAACTTCAAGGAGCACAAAAAGTGTCAAGATTTAAATAGCCACTTATATCAAGAAGACAAATTTGAAAGATTAATCAAGAAGAGCTGCTTATCAATGAAAAGAATGAAACAGAAATTCAATATCAACCAAGAAACAGAAAGACCTTGTCAGAATTTAAACCATGTAAGATGAAATTAAAGCTAAGAGTGTTTAAGGTCGTATATTTAATGAATAATTTCATAGATAATTTCATGACATAATACCTGATGATTTCTGTATAATTCTATAGCTCTTTCTGGATCAAACTTTCTAGCTATAAGGAATTTGATAGCAGTCGATGTACCGATTGGACTGAGGCCATGTTTCGTCCGATCGTTGTTGATCTGTGTCAGGAATATCGTGATAGCCTGTGGGAATGAATAACCGGTTAGTATGATGCATTATTTAGTCGATAAGAGAGTGTTTTTCGTACCTCTTTTTCTGTCTCTGTGAAACCAGTCCTATCTTCCGCCATGTTTTGATGATCGGATGAGCCACACATGGGCATGCCGGCTGGTTCGTTCAACCGTGGGCGCAGCAGTTTGTCAAGAAGCGGGGGAGGGGTAGGCGGGGAGGGGTAAGGCACCTGACACAGTATAATTCAAACATTTTTTATATTTTTATTTTATTAGTTTGTTTTAGTAATTTGTTATGACAACTCAAAATTAACACAAAGCTAAATGTAGTTTTTTTGTCATTAAAAGTTGACGGTAAGTATTAAATATTCATTAATTTTTTAAAACGAAATCGAATAATTTCATTTTTTCTTGTGATGTTCATTTTCCAAAAGCTTTTTTGGGCTTGAGATATTTTCTTTGCTGAGACCTCGAAAGATTTGGTTAAATTCGTCATGATAGTAAAATTAGAATTTGGTTGAATTTCTTTCTAAAAACATCTTTCACTGCACGCAAATTAGGGAATATTTATTGTTAAATTTAAACAATGATGATGTTTTTTTGAGCTCTGGACTTCTGTTCGCTGTCGTCCGCCATTTTGGATGTACCATTTTCAAATTTTGAATCTCGAATCTGACGTGAAGGGGGCGGAGCCTCCCCTTTTATACCGGAACTTCCTGTTTAAGGTGGCTGCCTACTTTTGAACGTTCGAATTGAGCCCACGATGAGCGCGCGCTCAAAAACCGCTAAAAAATCTACAAGAACCATACGCGTTTTGAGCTTCAACAGGGCAAAACCCTCAAATTTTGCACGGGACTCTATATTTTTTGATAGCTCATTCGAAAAAACTCCTAAAAATC